TATATATATATATATATATATATATATATATATATATATATATATATATATATATATATATATATGTGAGATATCGTAGAGTAACATCCAGCAGCAGCAAATGTAATACCAGCAGCAGCAGCAGCAACAGCAGTAGCAGCAGCAGGAGTAACGGCAGGAGCAGCAGCGCGAAAGAAAAAAGGAGACGGTCCCGTTCGTGCTGCTGCTGCTGCTTTTGCTGCTGCTGTTGCTGCTGCTGCTGCTGCTGCTTTTGCTGCTGCAGCTGCATGACGTCGTGTGGGTAGCAGTTTGTTGGTGGAGAGAGAAGAGGGGGGGCAGCTTATTTGTTCTTTTGTTTTTTTGTTTTTTTTTTGTTTTTTTATCTGTTTGTTTTTCTTGGTGTTTCGTTTGGGTTTTTAGGGTTTATGCATCGAGCTTGCGAGCTGTATACACTGTTTGAGGGTTTAGGGTTTAGGGTTTGTGTGTGTGCTGCAGTTGTGTATGACTTTGAGGCCAACAGCTGCTTAGCTGTGTTGCTGCAGCAGCTGCTGCTGCTCAACCCTTCTTGCTGCTGTCTCCTCGCGCACAGCAGGCGGCTGGGGATCGTCTGCCCCACTTCATCGATCCCCGTCGATGTCTTCGCCGAGGATTTCTGGGATCGCTTCTGCATACTCAACCCCACACACGATCCCACACACGATCCCACACTCGATCCCACACTCAACCCCACACACGATCCCACACACGATCCCAGACACGACCCCACACACGACCCCACACTCGATCCCAGACACGATCCCAGACACGATCCCAGACACGACCCCACACACGACCCCACACACGACCCCACACACGATCCCAGACACGATCCCACACACGACCCCACACACGCTCCCAGACACGACCCCACACACGCTCCCAGACACGACCCCACACACGATCCCAGACACGATCCCAGACTCGATCCCAGGGCAGTACACGGCCCCCGATTCCAGCTGTACGTGCACCCCACACCACCGACAGCTGTGGCCTTTGCGGGGATCGTCGATCCCACGGAGCTCAGCGGCGCCGCTGCTATCATCGGGGGGCCCCCGGGAGAGGAGGGGCCCCCAGAGAAGAAAATCCTTATGGTGGAGGAGAGGGGCTTGCTGCATATAAAAGAACGAGCTGCTGCTGCTGCTGCTGCATCAGCAGCAGAAGAAAAAGAAGAAGAAAAGGAAACAGCAGAAGGAGACAAAGAAACAGAAAAAGAAAAAGAAAAAGAAAAAGAAGCGGGGGCCCCCTTCTCGATGCACCCGTGGCAGGCAGCAGAGGCTGCTGCTGGGGGGGAGATCTGGGAGCTCCGTATATAAATGAATATCAATAGAAAGAAATTAATATAAATATATTTATATAAACAAATATATAATAAGAATGTAAATATAAAATAGTTGCATTTATTATAATTTATATTTATATATCATCAACAGAAGAAAATAAAAAGATATTTACATATAAATATATTTATTTCTTTTTAATATAATATACATATATATATAGATCATAAAACAGAAAGAAACAGAGGCAAGCATATAGACATAAGCATATAACAAATATAATTAGTTTATCAATTTAATAGATTAAATAAATAAACAAAAAGAATTATATAATTATATTTACATAAATAAACAAATACGAGATTTCAGTGTACATACACCCGAGCGGTGGTTGAGCGCGGGCGCTGCTGGTGTAGGCTGCATATATATATCCTGGGGTGTTCTCTAGGCTCTGAAAATTGTTAAATTATATTAAATTATAATAAATTATTATTTTAAATAATAAAATTAAATTTATTTTATTTATTTCAAGCAAAAAAAAGAGATACAGAGCAACCACACCACGCGGCGAGCAGCTGGGGTCACCTGGGCGAGGAAGGCTCCACCAGCAGCAGCAGCAGCAGCAGCAGCAGCAGCAGCAGCAGCAGCAGCAGCAGCAGCAGCAGCAGCAGCAGCGGCAGCAGCAGCAGCAGCAGCAACAGCAGCCAGCCCTCTTTTAGCGTGTGTATTTATAAAAAAACATATTCTTTTGTTTATTAAATTTGTTTTTTTTTGTTTTTTTCTGCTCTTTAGGACTCGCTGCAGCCACAGGAGGGAAGGCCTCCTCCCCGCCTCCGTTTCAGTGGCGGTGGCCTCCTACGAGCACCCTAGGGTTTAGGGTTTAGGGTTTAGGGTTTAGGGTTTAGGGTTTACGATGGCTTATAATAGCTCGGCTCAGGCTATGTATGCTGCCCTCTTCAGTGGGGACGCAATGCGAGAAGCATTGCAGTGGTTA